GCTGGTAGGTCACCCAATCTAACTCCGTGCTGGTAGGTCACCCGATCTAACTCCGTGCTGGTAGGTCACCCGATCTAACTCCGTGCTGGTAGGTCACCCGATCTAACTCCGTGCTGGTAGGTCACCCGATCTAACTCCGTGCTGGTAGGTCACCCGATCTAACTCCGTGCTGGTAGGTCACCCGATCTAACTCCGTGCTGGTAGGTCACCCGATCTAACTCCATGCTGGTAGGTCACCCAATCTAACTCCGTACTGGTAGGTCACCCGATCTAACTCCGTGCTGGTAGGTCACCCGATCTAACTCCGTGCTGGTAGGTCACCCGATCTAACTCCGTGCTGGTAGGTCACCCGATCTAACTCCGTGCTGGTAGGTCACCCGATCTAACTCCGTGCTGGTAGGTCACCCGATCTAACTCTGTGCTGGTAGGTCACCCGATCTAACTCTGTGCTGGTAGGTCACCCAATGTAACTCTGTGCTGGTATGCATTTTTGAGGCGCCACAATAATAAATCACGAGGCTTTTCACTCGGTCCAACTCCGTGCTGTGCTGGTACGTGTAATCCTCTGCTCTTTCGAGGCAAGATGACTTTTGATTCGACTGAAAAGGGCGGGTATTTACGAGGCTTTTCACCCGATCCAACTCCGTGCTGTGCTGGTACGTGTAATACAAGGCACAGTATTGCTGGCGCCGCTCCTCGTTCCTCGACAATCGCTCTCTGTAGCTTTTTCTCTTCATGTGTAACGCCCTCCCAACCTCCCACCCCTCCCCACCCCCCGTTCTCCCTCCCCCATGCAGCACAGCATGCGTGTGAACAGCGGTCGACTGCCCTCGTTGCGAGAGAGCCTGTCAAGCCACCAGACTCTCACAGAGAGGTGAGCGAGAAGGGTTGAGTAGGGGAGGTTGGGAAGTTGTGTATGCGAAGATGGGAGGATGGGAGTATGAAGGATGGGGGAGATGGATATGCAGGGAGGGTTTGAGAACACGCACACACCCATTGGCTCTTCGGTCCGTTGACTGTTTGAGAGAACGCACAAACCCGTGCCCTGGATTTTCTGGGCTGTTGACCGTTTGCCTGTTTGCCAAGCATTTCCTTCTCCTCTCAGCTTGGCAATAGATGGTCTCTATTCCACTCCCGGCTTGACCAACCATCTATTTGGTTTATGTACCTCTTACCCTTCTTTTCTTGACTGCCTTTTTTGCTCGCTTTTGCAGCTTTTCTCTCACCATGTTCCTGTGATCCCTTCCCTTCTCCGTCTGTTGCTTCCCTTCTCCGTCTGTTGCTTCCCTTCTCCGTCTGTTGCTTCCCTTCTCCGTCTGTTGCTTCCCTTCTCCGTCTGTTGCTGCCCTGCTCCGTCTGTTGCTGCCCTGCTCCGTCTGTTGCTGCCCTGCTCCGTCTGTTGCTGCCCTGCTCCGTCTGTTGCTGCCCTGCTCCGTCTGTTGCTGCCCTGCTCCGTCTGTTGCTGCCCTGCTCCGTCTGTTGCTGCCCTGCTCCGTCTGTTGCTGCCCTGCTCCGTCTGTTGCTGCCCTGCGCCTATGCGTCTTCCCCCTTTTCTCCTCGGCCCTCCTTCCCATGCTCTTCCCTTTCCGCTGCTCCTGCCCTCGTCCCTCGTCCCCCCAGGCTTGCAGTCTATGGGCTGAGTTGAGGGAACTGCGATGATATTCTAACCACCTTCAGAATCATTGCTCTCATCCCTAAAAATCCTCTGCTCCTTCCTGCCCCCATCCCTCGTCCCCCCGTCCCTCGTCCCCCCGTCCCCGGTCCCTTGTCCCCCTGTCCCTCGTCCCCCCGTCCCCTGTCCCTCGTCCCCTCCAGGCTTGCAGTCTATGGGCTGAGGGAGTTGCCAATGGTGGGAGATGGAAATTGCCAGGTAGCTTCTTCATCCTACTCTGCCTGATCTTCCGTACTAGGACCCTTCTCGCATCATGGTTGTGAGAATTCTTAAAAGCGACCCAGATGTAGCTTATGCCTCATGGACCACGGTTGCCTTTGTTGCAATCCCTTATAATCGGCACTGGTTCCACCCAAACCTCCTCTCTCTCTGCCGCTGCCTCATCCCCTCCCCTCCTGCCTGTCTCCTTTCTATCCCAGCTGTTCTTCCAGTTCCTGCTAGCCTCCCGACCTCTCTCCTCCTCCTGCTTCATCCTCCCCCCTCGCCTTGCCTCCTCCCCCCCACAGTTCCATGCACTGGCGGATCAGCTGTTTTGCAATGCCGGCTACCCCTTCCAACCTTTCCCCCATGCCTCTCCGCTCCCTCCCCCCCCAGTTCCGAGCTCTGGCAGACCAGCTGTTTCGCAATGCCAATCGCCATGCGGCTGTGCGACAAGCCGTGGTGCAGCAGGTGGGTGGGTAGGGGAGGAGGGCAGTATGGGTGCTAGAGTTGGGGGGGAGAGAGTGAAGCAGGTGCAAAAGGGTCTCTGAAGGCTGCTCTGCAATGCCAATCGCCATGCGGCTGTGCGACAAGCCGTGGTGCAGTAGGTGCGCGGGAAAAAGGTTCAGCGTGAAGTTGGGTGGGGGGAAGAGTGCAGCAGGTGGGTGGGGGGAAGAGTGCAGCAGGTGGGTGGGGGGAAGAGTGCAGCAGGTGGGTGGGGGGAAGAGTGCAGCAGGTGGGTGGGGGGAAGTGCGAGCCATGCATTTGCCACACAATCATGCCAAAACTATGCTGTTCTGGCACTCTGTTCTGAATGCTGCGTCTGTGACGATTATTTAGGCGCCTAAAAACTCGTCTCAGTTCACGCACATTTGTCACACAATCATGCAAAAAAAATATGTTGTTCTGGCACTCTGATCTGAATGCTGTGTCTGTGTGTGCGTGCATGCGTGTCAGATGCGGGCGCATTCAGAGCGCTACTCGCCCTATGTGCCGGACAGCTTTTCTCGCTACCTCAGACACATGGCCAGGTAAGAATTGAAGTGTGACAATTGTGAAAAAGCCTTTCCCGCTACCTCAGATACATGGCCAGGTAAAGATTTCTACACGGTTATTGAGTCTGATTGAACAGTGTTGGGACGTTACAAAACCCCATTCAGAGCGCTACTCACCCTATGTGCCGGACAGCTTTTCTCGCTACCTCAGACACATGGCCAGGTAAGAATTGAAGTGTGACAATTGTGAAAAAGCCTTTCCCGCTACCTCAGACACATGGCCAGGTAAAGATTTCTACACAGTTATTGAGTCTGATTGAACAGTGTTGGGACGTTACAAAACCCCATTCAGAGCGCTACTCACCCTATGTGCTTGACAGCTACTCTCGCTACCTCAGACACACATCCAGGTGAGTATCTTTTCCTGGTGCATAACAGCAACTCATAGAGATACATCATTCTACATGGCTAGGTAAACAGCTCTGCATGGTACTGACCGAATAACAAAGAAAGCCACTGAATGGCACCGAATGATCCTAATGACTCTAAAAAGTGGTAAAAAGCTCTGAATAGTGTGATAAATGGCCACCGATTTGTGCAGAGGAATAAGTATTCTGGATACCTGCGGGGATATGAAAGTTGATTTTTTTGGCGACCTCTGCTCATTTTTCCTTGTTGCTGCTCTCAGGAATGGCGAGTGGGGCGATCACATCACTCTGCAGGCTGCTGCAGACAAGGTGCGGTGCGGTGGGATGCAATGAGGTGAGGTGAGGTGCAGTGAAGTGAGGTGAGGTGCGGTGGAGTGAGGTGAGGTGCTCATGTCACATGCTCCTTGTCATCGTATGCCATCATATCCTTTGGCCCATGAGCCATGCCCATTCTCCCTTTCATTTGTAACCCTCCCACCAGTACAAAGCCAATATCAATCGCATCATGTCCCATCCAGGAGACAAGTCCCCCATCGTTCTCCACTCGTATCCAGGAGAAAATTGTTGAGTTTGACTCATATGCCGCCCTGCACCATGCACCGTGCACTATGCTCCATGCTCCCTGCCCTTCCTCTCCTTCCCTCCCCATCAGTATGGAGCTAAGATCAACCTCATCACGTCCTATCCAGGAGACCAGTTTCTAATAGAGATCTTCCCATGCCAAGGCAAACCCACTAGAGGTATGTTCAGAGGAAAATCAATCAGTCGGTTCAGAGGCCATCGAGATTAACCTCATTGCGTCCTATCCAGGAGACAAGTCTCGAATAGAGATATTCCCATGTCAAGGCAAACCCACCGAAGTTGAGTCCTCCTGAACTGATTTCGAGTCAAACCATAAATTACCATGTCAAGGCAAGCCTACCAAAGTTGTGACTCTGGCAAACGGCTTTGGTAGTTTGGTAAGTCCTGGAGTGATGTTGGAGTCTAACCATAAACTACCAAAGCCGTTTGCCAGAGTCACAACTTTCATTTCTTCAGCTCCTCTTCTGCATGCGCTCAAACCGCTTTGCACCCATCTGCATTCTTGTGTCGCTTTCCCTGCTTGTGTGTCAGAGCTATGGCTCAGCTTCTGGGCGGAAGTACACTACAACTCCGTCTACAGTGCTGAAAGTAAGAGCCAATATAGTTTGGTTTACAATGGCGAAAGTATGTGTGCCTTGCCTGCATTGCCACCTGGGGCCGTTTGAAGTGCGGAGAAACTGGTGTGACAAGGTGCGTTGCAATTTTGTCTACAGTGCCGAAAGCAATGGACGGGCATTCCCACTGTGCTTCATGTGGACTGCCCACTCTAAGCACCATTCCCGCATAGTGAAGCTAATGTAGTGATTGTATTTCAAATCCCTTTCTTTTACTGTCATTACGTGGTGTTCTTCTCTGCTGTTTGCAGGCCTTCCTCCACCTCAGCCGAAAAAGAAGCACTGGCTGTTCGCTTGATGTTTATTGTTCTGGAGCTTTTTCCCAAAGTTTCATAAGGTTCTTTTGCTGAAAGCCAAATGTATATATCCTTGTGTTGTGGATTTCGGACAGAAGGGCGGCAGGCAGACAGTTTATTCTTTTATTTTCTTTCTTTTTGTCAGGTATGGTAGGTTGTTTGTGTTGCATAATGTATCCCAAGGGTTAACCCCCCTCAACCTTTTTGCGGGCCAGCATCAGGCCTGGAAAGTGTTCCCTACCTGCAGCCCAGCACCAGGGTTGGAAGGGGTTCACTGCAGCGCAGCACCAGGCTCGGTAAGGGTTTCCTGCAGCCCAGCACCGGGCTTGGAAGGGGAGAAGCAGGGTACCGCAGCAGACTATGTAACGTGGGACCAACAGCTTTTACAGTGGGTCTGCCTTTACAGTATGTGGGAACAACAGCATTTACCAATGTAGCTGGGTGGGAGCATGGATTACTTCAGAGGGCTGGCCAACAAAACCCAGGGATCGCACACCTACAGGTCCAGCGATTTGTGAAGTGAGACTAAATATCAAAATGCGCGTTCAGCAGGATTCGAACCTGCGCGGGCAGAGCCCAACAGATTTCGAGTCTGTCCCGTTAACCACTCCGGCATGAACGCACACTATATAGATGTACTTACATTTTTATAAACAAAAAAACATGAATGCTCAGATCCTTTACACAATTTACTAAACACCTCTTTCATGGCTTGCTGGTTCTGATTTTTGGATTTTTTATCAATCACTAATCCAGTTTGGTCAACAAGACATGACAAGTCCAAGGCCGCTATGGCGGTTTCCAGGGAGTTCTATCGAGCCAATGTCCTACAATTTCTTACCAGTTAGGAATTTAAAGCCTAGATTCGTACTCCTTACGACTTCAGGATTCCGTGCGTACACTTTATATGTTCATACAGAGGACATTGTACAAACGATCTTATTGTGAGGCACTTTCAAGGCTTATCCTGACAATGACGACTCTAGGCCTCGTGGCGCTCCCAAGGCCAATGGGGTCTGTATTCCGAAAAACTATCATCCTGCTGAAGCTTTCAAGGCTATCTTCATCTACAAATATAGGCGTAAAAAGACGAGAAGACACAAGTCATCACAGGAGCTTCTGGGGCTCAGTTCTTTATCACTCTCCACTTGCAGACCTTCCTTCGTTTTTTCATCATCACCCCATGGCTCCCGTTCGCGACGTGTCGACTCCGTGTGCTCCTGGTGCTGCTGGTGTGCAAGGGAAGAAGCTGTCGGATGCACGTCTAGATCCGGTGACTCCTAAGACGCTTTTCAACGGTGTGGCCGGCTCTTTCGGCGCGGAGATGGTTAACAAGCTGGCGGAGCGTACGTCGGCCCTCAAGTTGGATGATCTGCCGGCGGGAGGGAAAGAAAGTGACATGGTTAAGCCCTCTGCTGCTGGAAGCTCGTCGTCGCCGCCTGATGTGCTTGACAAAGGCAAAGCAAAGGCGGAGGATAAGGACAATGAGGACGGTTACCTCTGTGACGATCTGGACAAGTGCCAAGACCCGGAGGTGCTCAACGAAATCGCTGCACAGGCGGGGTTCGCCATTACCCTGCTGATCCCTTTTGCATGGAACAAGGAGGTTCCCCGCACCATCAATACGGTCCGACATCTCCTAATGGTGTGGAGGAAGCACTTGTCAGAGAACGTCAGGACCACGACTGGTTTCCAGCAACTATCGGCTACTTACCTGTCCAAGAAACATTTTGGTCGGATGCAGGTGGTCTTTCAGCAGGAGGCTGATGCGAGTTTTGTATGGAGCCGGGAAGTGGAACATTACACGATGAATGACAAGAAGCTTAAGCTTGGCTGGCAGCACCCGGAAAATGTTGGTTATCTGAAGAAGTGCGCGCTGCATCCAGAGGCGATTGAGGTGCTGCTTAGGGATGTCACGGCGGTGATCTCTCTCGGAGATGATTCGGAAGAATCTGGTGACTGCGATGCTGATGAAGCAGGGCCGTACGGCTTTCCGTGACAGCTCGTTGTTTCATAGGGTCCTGGATCCCGTCTCGGGGTCAGACACTGATAAGATCAAGGGCCTGGTCTACAGGCACCCGGGGGATAAGTATAAATGGTGACACCGCGTTACCGACAAGATTCACGGCATTGATCTCCTTGTGTCTTTTCCCGCTCTCACCTGCGATTTTTGCAACGGCATGCATATGACCTCTTTTCATGATGAGTTTGTCAAGGAGAGGCAGAATAACATTGGCAACTTGGGTTTGTCGCTGCTGCGTGCTCATGAGATCAACGGTAAAGATCTACGCGCTTACCTTGTTTTTCAGGTGGTCGCGCAACAGACCCCCAAGCTGACTTCTGTGTCGCCTCCCCCCCCAAGCAGCTGCTTCTCTGAAGCTGTCAGCGGCGGCGAAGATCATCATGGCAAACCCGGCAATCTCCCTGTCTTTGGTGGGAGGGGTCCGGGAGGAATGGGTCTGCGTGCAAGAGGAGTGCGGGAAGGCTCACGGGAACAATTTCGAATAGGTGGTGGAGTATGCTCAGTCACAGTGCCACTGCAATGGTCTGCTCAAGGCGGGTGCTGCTACCCAGCAGGTCAGGGGAAAGCAGAACCTGGCGGATGTCCGGAAGGAGTATGGGAAGTAGTTTTGCCACAATGCATCATGGATCTGTGTTGGACATCGGTGAGGGACACAAGTTCTCGGAGCAAGGAGAAGTTAGTCTCAGCTGGATGTGCCATGTGAATCACCTTGTGTTATAAAGCCTGTGGGTGCGTGGGGCTCTCAGAAGAGTGGATTAATGGGTAACACAACCAACCTTATAATCTGTGGGGTCAATGTGAACAATCTCGGAAGCAACGGAAAAAGAAGCAAGCATCGGTAGTGGATGCGCAAGGCAGCGGACATAGTAGTTTTGTCCGACACACGGATCAACGAAGATCATAATTTTTGGAGTGGGCTGAAACCAAAAGCGTGGGCTGCTGCGAGCCCCAGTCAAGCGGCTGGGGGGGTGGCAATTCTCGCCTTAGCAAAACGCATTAGTTTCTTGGATGTCTTGGCGGGCTCATCTGGGAGGCTGTTATGGGTGACGGTGGAAGGGGGGGATGTGGCTTTTGTTGGGCTGAGAAGCCCTAGGATCTTTGTAGAGTTTAAGGAATGAGTAGGATTGTAATAGCGGAAGCGTTGTAATACAGAGTGGTTGAACCACCTTGCACTAGTATGTGAGAGCAAAGTAAGTTAGATTAAACAAGCAAATACAAGGTTTATATAAGAGTACAAGGAATACGAATAGATAGATTTCAACCGTTTTACTGTTGCGATTCGATACAGTGCGACTCGGGCAACTGCTCAATGTCGAGTCAGTTGTGTGTCCTTGCTGTCGCGCTGTATTGGTCAAGTCAAAGGTCGCTGACCTTTGACCTTCGCGTAACCTCCAGGCGGTTACCCCAACCTCCGAGGGTTGACTCGCGATGCTTCGATTTGGACTGCTTCGCTAGTGTCCTGAGTTTCGGACACGACAGAGGCGCCTTAAGACTTATTGTTCCCAACACTCCCCTTCGCTTCTGGAGTGTCGCTGATGGTGACGTGGCCTTGTCCAGTCAGCAGCATGCAGTACTCGAACTTCTGTTTTCCGAGCTTCTTGGTCAAATAGTCGGCTGCCATCTCGAACGTGGGACAGTGAGATAACTCGAGTCTTCCTTTCTCGATCTCGTCTTTCACGAAGAAGTATCGCAGAGCGATATGCTTCGTTCTGTTCGCGAATCCGTTTTTGTTGGCGATGCGAATTGCAGATTGGTTGTCGCAGTGCAGGGTGAAGCTGGGTAACTCAGCTAACTTTGCTTCTTCCAGCAGTTCGCGAAGGTAGAGTCCTTCCTTGGTGGCTGAGCAGAGGGCGATATATTCTGCTTCAGCTGAAGAGAGAGCGATTAGTTCCTGCTTACTCGACTGCCAGGAGATAGGTCCGATAGGCTCGAGACGATAGACGTAGCCGGTGCGAGAGCGCCTGTTATCTGGATCTCCGGCATGATCGGCATCGACATAACCGATTAGTTTCATTGACGCAGCTTCGTTCTTGTAGTAAGTCAGGCCGATCGTCGGTGTGCTCACGAGATAGTGCAGTGCGCGATCGAGTTCTGACATGTGATCTGCTTCAGGCCTCTTGAGGTGTGCAAGTGCTGTTGCCACAGCCGTGGGGCCTGCTTGATTCCGTAGAGGGACTTTAGCAGTTGGCAGACTTGATCGGGTTCCCCGTGGGTACCGTGAGGGAGCTCGACGAAGATGTCGGCGTCGACAGGTGCGTAGAGGAAGGCATTGGCAACATCAATTTGTCGCATCTTCTTCTTCTTCATGGCGGCGACGGCGAGAAGAATTCGGAGTGAGGTATGTCGACTAACTGGGGCGAATGTCTCGGTGAAGTCTCGCCCTTGCTCCTGGTCGAATCCTCGCACGACCCATCGTGCCTTGAACTGTTGAAATATATATGTAACTGCCTGTAGCTGTAGTTTAGTGTAGTTATTATAACTTGTTGGTGGTGCACCTTCTTTGCATGCTTTGTTTGCTATTTGTACCTCGCTCAATAGTAAACTCATCCCCTTTTGGCAAACTCTCTCGACATGTTCCTCTCTAAGTCTTCTACTACCCCAAACCCTAGTCTTCACTTAATCTACTATTTTGACATGGTATTAAGAGCTGGGTCGTTCTAAGACCTACTTTTCTTTTTCCCCATGGGCCCACCACGTATCCCCCCGCTCATGGCGCTCGTCACGCCCCCCGTCGCGGCCGTAGTTACGACGGTTGCAATGGTCGCGACCGTCAAAACGGTCTCGGCGGCGAGCTGCGCGACGGCGTCAGATGCGGCCTTGTTTCGGCCCCCCGTCAGCGCCCTGCACGTCCGCGCTTCCTGCGCCCTGCTCGTCCCGTCCGTGGCGCCCTTCCCGTCGCGCCCGTTGCGCCCTGCTCGTCGAGCACCGCGCGCAGCTGCGTACGGCCGCGCATTGCTGCGCACAGCCGCGTACGACCGTGCGCACCCGCGCACGGTCGTGTGCGCCAGCACCAGCGCCCGTCGCCAGCACCTGCGCGAGCGCCAGCGTCGACGCCAGCGCCAGCAGCAGCTAACGCCGCCCCCCCCTTACCCTCCACAGCTTCCGCCGTGGGGGGGGGGAGATGTGGGGGAGGCGTGTGTGAGTTGCCTGCAGCCCGTCCTTCCCCTCCCTTCAGCGGGGTCCGTCGTGAGGGGGGGGAGAGGTAGCGGGGGGAGGGTGAGGGGAAAGGGGGAGAGTGTGAGGGAGTGGAGAGAGATTCTGCCGAGCCAGCAGCCGCCCCTCCTCCTCTCTATCCCACTGCTGCACGTGCCGTCGTGGGATGGAGGGTGAGATGGTGGCGGAATTCAGCTAGGCATTTGCAGCTGCCGCTCGCTGCTACCGTGGCACCTACTGCTGCCTCCCCTGCCTCCACCTGCTGTTTTACTTCCTTCTACTGTCTTTTGCTGTTGAGCGACAGGTGCTGCCGTTGAGCCCTGCTGCTGTGCCGCCGCACGTTGCCGCCGCACGCACCCGCTCTCCAGGCGACCTGCCGCCACATGCACCTTTGTCTGTTGCTTCTACCTTGGTTGAGGGGTTGGTGCAGCTGAATCTGCCACCACTGCACAGGTTGCCACTACTCTTGCCTACTGTTGCTGTTTTCTGTCGCAGCTTCTTCTTCTTCATGGCGGCGACGGCGAGAAGAATGCGGAGAGAGGTATGTCGACTAACTGGGGCGAAGGTCTCGGTGAAGTCTCGTCCTTGTTCCTGGTCGAATCCACGCACGACCCAGCGTGCTTTGAACTTCTCGATTGTACCATCTGCTTTTGTTTTGATGCGGAAGACCCACTTCCCGGTGAGAATGGTCTTGTTCCTTGCTACGCTTGCGGGAACGACCTTCCAAGTGTTGCGTTCCTCCAGTGCCTTTAATTCCCTGTCCATGGCTTCACGCCATTTTTCCCTGTGTTCCCCCCCCAGAGCCTGCTGAACTGTCGCAGGCTCTTTAGGAAGAGTGTTGCCGGCGGTCCCGTGGACTGCGGTGACGAGGCCAAGGATTTGTAGCCCAGTCTGTGAGTATCGAGGGAGTTCTGGATCCTCGGGATAAGCTGCTTCGTCTCCCGCTTCTGGGTCGGGGATGAAATTTGGCCCTATCCTTTCTGCTTCGTTGGTGTTGACTATCGCAGGTGTTACGTAACCGTTGTCGGCGAAGTGGTAGAAGACTTCGGCGTTGTTACTGTCGCGAGGATTATCTTCATCCATGGGCACATCGACGGAGCAGTACGGGAGAGGTCCGGCTTCCTCCGATGCGTTGTCGACGTTCTGTTCATCCCAGTCTGCTTCGTCCGCTGCTGAGGCGAAGGCTCGGTCACCACGAAAGCCACCTGTGGGGTCCCGATTCTCGTGCAAGTTGGCGAGGTACGTCTGAAGGGTGAGTCGTTTGTAGAAGATCACATCACGTGCTGCTACTGTTTCTTTTGTGTGGACGTCGAAGATTCTCCACGCGTTGTAATTTTTCTCTATGCTGAGGTGTAGTCCCCACTGTGCCCGTTGCGAAAATCTTCCCGCTCGTGCTTCTGGGGGTCGGTACTGTACCATGCACCCAAATACTCGTAACATTTTTGTGCTGCCCTGCTTTCCTGTCCACAGCAGATGCGGTGATGCGTTGTTCGGGAGTGACGACGACGAAAGCAAGTTGTGCAGCATGACAGCATAGTCCATTGCTGCTGGCCACTGGTGGTTGGGTAGCCGCATGCCACGTAGTAGTTTGCGCATGCTGTTCTGCAGGGTCCTGTTCATTCTTTCTGCAACACCCTGCTGCTGATGGGCGTAGGGAAGGGAGAGGAGTTGCTTGATTCCCCTTTCCGCCAGGTACTGCTTGAAGCGCTGAGAGGTGTACTCGCCACCTCCGTCTGACTGGAAGCTTTTCAGCTGCGTTCCTGATTCCCTCTCTGCTACCGGTAGCCAAGCGGCGAACGTTGCGAGAGCCATGTCGCGGCTTG